AAAACTGTGCTGAATGCTACAGATGTAAACTGTGTTTAGTGCTGAATGCTTCAAATTTCTCCTTTGTGTCAATGACCCCAAATACAGGAACAATGGTGCATAACTTAAAGATTCATCCATGTAACCTTATTGTACATTTACAACTTAGCGTGACAACAGATGAACATAATTCTCAATTGGCGGAGGTTACTCATCGTGCTAAGCCACACAAAAATTCTTTGAAATCACAGTTGCTATATTTATGCAGTGGGAGAACAGCATTACTGGTTAATTAGTTGTTTTTCTTCTCCTATTCAATCATTCCACCAAATAGAATTAAGTAATATAAAGTCATCAATACATTTATAGAAACCATTGCAATGATTTCAAAATTTTCTAGGTACTTGTTCCACCATGGGCAGCCTTGCTGAAGCAAACACCAACTTCGCTGTGGACCTCTTAAAAAGGATGGAAGAAGAGCAACCCAAGAACATCTTTTTCTCTCCATTTAGTATCTCAGCAGCTTTAGCTATGACCTCTTTGGGTGCCAAAGGTAACACTGCTGCTGAAATGGAAAAGGTAGGAATCTTCATGATAATCAGGAAGTCTTTTCTACTGATGACTTTCCTTTTGAGAACCTGTCTGTTCTCCATTCAGAGAAGATTGAGAGTTAGCAATAAGGAAATCAAGGAATAGTTAAAGTGAAGGCAAATCCAGAACTCATAACTGTAATAAGCTAAACTAAACATGGCATTTTTAAAAAATTAGAAAAATAAAAATTGTAATTTTTATTACATTTATTTTATCTTCATTTTCTCAGATCACTTAGACTAGACTCCCCTCCCTAACCGCTAAACGCTTTTGCTATCGCTGATAGGTCAGATTAATTGGGGTGGTACAGATTGTGACCCAAACATTTGGACAATATCATGTGGAAAAATGCTGGCCTATGTGGTATCTATCTTAAAGACAGTCCCTTCCACGTTCCTCAGTGGCCCTGGGGAAAAAAGGATGCCTTTGATCTAGGAGTTTCCGAGGAAACTGAATCATGACAGAAGGAAATGGTGACATAGTTCACAACCTCCAATCTATTTTGTATTGCAGGTCCTTCATTTTGATAAAATCACAGGATCGATGACGTCTCCAAGCTTGCCTGTAAGAGAATTTTAATTAAATTTAATTTTATTGCAATTCTACATACATACAGATGCACAAATTTGTATATACACACATATATACAAATACAGTGCAGACACCCACACGTGTGTGTGTGTGTGTGTGTGTGTGTGTGTGTGTGTGTGAGTGTGTGTGAGCATTTGGTGTAAATGTTTTGGAATAGAGGCCAAATATGTGCCTATGAATGTAATGTCCCATCCTTTGGTTCTTGAAGGCTCAGTGTGACAAACCTGGTGGACCACACAACCAGTTCAAGGAACTCCTATCAGCTATTAACCAACCTACTAAAAACTATACATTGAGCATAGCCAACCGGATGTATGGATCAAACGTTTTTGAATTTCTCCAGGTGAGCAAGAAACTTCCCATCCTTTTCACTCTATGTGAAACTCTA